TTTCGCGCACTCGACACGCACGATCTCCGCAGAGGGTTGCGCGCGCAGCCGGCAAATCGCACTCTCGCCTGCATTTCGCGCACTCGACGCGCACGATCTCCGCAGAGGGTTGCGCGCGGACCGGACAAATCGCACTCTCGCCTGCATTTCGCGCACTCGACACGCAGGATCTCCGCAGAGGGTTGCACTTTCGGTTGACGCTGTTCGTCCCACCCTCCGCCTTTAAGAGAGAATTTATAAAGTGGGGAAATGTTTTTTCATTACAACATCTCCCGTGCTAGTTCACTTGCCTACTCATTGCATGCTTGCATACTCATCACTTGCATACTTACACTTGCATACTTTGACAGCTTTCGCTCTTCCACTTACACAGGGCTACGTATAGCGTTCATGTTATCCTGCAAGTGTGGTGAAAGTGTCAATGTCTAGGTGTGTCTAAGTGTAAGTGTCGAAGTGTCAGTGTTCAAAGGATTTTCCGGAAGAACCCTTCGCAATGCTTTCGGGAAAATGCTGAGTCCAACTACATCCTCCGTCTCCGGGCGCTATCGCGATAACAAGACAAAATATTTTCTCCGACTCTCACGCGCGATACTAACGACACCGAATTCACAGAACAACATTATATCTATCAAGCTAGTGTCGCACAGTGCAGAAGCTCTCAACAAAAATACTGTCTATCTGACGCAGAATCCAGACAGATTCTCCAGGTACTGGGATTGCCGGTCAAACACGTCTTGTGCTTCAGCATAGGCCCATGCGCGACGAAGAGCACCATCCAGAGGACGCTCGCCTTCAACATTGACAGTCACATTGGGCAAGCCACCCATGGCCTCAACCACTTGCTTCAATCTGCTCAGAGCAAACTTCGTGCGGTTGTCGCGTCCCGCCAGGCAACGCTTCCAGTCTTTCTCACGAAAGAGTACTTCTTTCAAAGCTTCTCGGCTCACAGGATGTTCGGCGCAATCCATGCGCTCTATCGCATCTTCGTGCTCGAGATCGTTCTCCACATCAGATCCTTCTATGTCCACGGGACCGACATCGTCCTCCGCGCACATGGACACTTGCCAGTGATGCTTGTCAAACAACTACGCTACATACACAGAAACACTTTACCACGACTTGGCCCCCCCCCAAAAAAAGCATGTGCTGTATCCAGCACTCCTCCACGTCTTCGCCCTCCTCTTCCTTGGTCATGTAAGCAAAGCGCTCAGCTCTCCTCTGGCTGCTGCTGAGCTGTCGTGCTTCGTGGTGCAGGCGGAATCTCTCCAACCACTGCAGCTGCACATGAGACATGTGCTCCAGCGGAGTCAACTGTGTGTAGTGAAAACCACAAGGGATTTCCAAAGACCAACAAATCCTTTCGTGTATCCGAGGTAGGTCCATAACAAAGATTGAAAGTCTTATATCTAGAGGTCTTTTTCTTGGTCGAATACATCTACACATCACAAAACCATTGTAACCAAGGTTGAATGTCTCAGAAAGCTTGGAAGTCTTATATCTAGATATCTCTTTCTTCCCCGAAAACATCTACACATCAAAACACCGTCCTGAACGTTCGGATGTCCCGGTTCCTGTCAGGGACTTTGCATGGATACCCAAAGCAGACACCCATCCCCGAATACAACCCTTCCTGCAAAGCGCAGCTTTCCACTATCGAGTCTAGCCAACACCTACTTCAACACAAACAGCTTGTGTGCAAAGTTCAACACCGCTCTACGCCCATCCCCTGACTCCATCCCTCCTGCGATGAGAAGCTCTCCACTATGGATTCCAGCAGCTGCTCCTTCCGAAGGGTTCTGCCGTCGCGCCTCTGCGGCACTTCCAACTTCGCGCACAGCTGCCGCACGTCGGACGTGCTCTTGGCCTCCAACTCGGTCCGCAACCACGCCGCGCCTCCCTCTCCATGTCCCTCTCGCAGGCGCTGCACCTCTGGCTCCTGCTGCCCTGCTTCCTGTATGGGAATTTGCAGGGATATCAGAAGCAGACACCTATTGGAGCACAAGAAAACAGCGTCTCAACTAAGTTGAACTATACACTGCACCCATCCCCTAACACAAATTGGGTATCTTAACAAAGATTGAAAGTCTGATCTCTAGATGTCTTTCACGAAACCGTCCTCAACGTTCGGATGTGCCGGTTCCTGTCAGGGACTTTGCATGGATACCAAAAGCAGACACCCATCCCCGAACACAACCCTTCCCGCAAAGCGCAGCTATCCACTATCGAGTCTAGCCGACGCCTACTGCAACATAAACAGCTCGCGCGCAAAGTCCATCCCTCCTGCGATGAGAAGCTGTCCACTATGGCTTCCAGCAGCTGCTCCTTCCGAAGGGCTGCGCCGTCGCGCTTCTGCGGTAGTTCCAACAAAGCGCACAGCCGTCGCAAGTCGGCGCGGTTCTTGGCCTCCAACTCGGTCCGCAACCATGCCGCGCCTCCCTCCCGGTGTCCGTCTCGCAGGCGCTGTGCCTCTTGCTCCTGCCGACCCGCTGCCTCCGCGTTTCGCAGAACTGCGTCCTGCAGAGTGGCAATGGTCCGCGCGCCTCTCGACGAGAAGCTTCTGAGGTGTGTCGAAACTTCTTGCAAGTATATTCTTCACGGCTCTTGCCTTGCTGCACGTTCCCGGCTACACTCTGTGGAGACTTACGCGAACTCACTTGGAAATTGCTGCAGTCTCTCTGCTTGAGCCACCGCGCGCATCGCGCCAGGGACTCGATGCTCTAACCTCAAAACACACAACGAACACGAAACGAAACGTGCCTAAGATCTACAGCACCAAAGACCTGCAAAAGGATTTCATAAACATCTGCTTTATGCTGGCTCATACCCACTTCAACTATGATGGCAGCCAGCGTGCTGGCTTTGCCATCTGGACAATGGCAGCCAGCGTGCTGGCTTACCCACTTCAACTATGATGTGCTGGCCTTGCCATCTCAACAATGGCAGCCAGCGTGCTGCCTTAGCCACTTCAACTATGATGGCAGCCAGCGTGCTGGCTTACCCACTTCAACTATGATGCTAGCCAGCGTGCTGGCTTTGCCATCTCAACAATGGCAGCCAGCGTGCTGGCTTACCCACTTCAACTATGATGGTAGCCAGCGTGCTGGCTTTCCATCTGGACAATGGCAGCCAGCAAGCTGGCTTCCACTGCCTGTTATCAAAGGCACGTGTTAGTTGTACTACCAAG